AAAAAAAGTTCATCTTTTTCTTCTCTGAGTACAACTACAACTATCCCTGCCATATTTTTAAAGAAAGCATGGCTGAAAAGAGAGAAAGCAAACGGGGAAGAGGGAGGGACATCAAATATGCAAGTCTGGAAGTAGGGAATTTCTTAAGGGAAGGTGCACATGTATGCAAGCAATCTATAAGGACCCTCAACTCTATACCAGAAACTCAGCTAATTTCAACCTTTTTCTATTACATTCATTAATAGGGGAAAACAACAGCATCCCGTAATCATCTGGCTTGGCATCGATGCATTTCATTAATAATATTCTTCATCGCAGGAGGAACATCAAAGTAGAGCAATGTCCCCTAAGGGGACTGCAATTCATTGGTAGAACAACCATAGCATGCACGCCCAAACTACTTCAAAGATTGGAATCAAAAGAAGCGGTAATTAAAACAATGGAGAATAAAATTATAAGGCGCAGAAAAAAGGTACTGTATAAAAAAATGATTCTCTAAAACAAAGATCCCCGACATTATTGAAATATATAAAATAATAAAAGTATCATCAGACATAAGCATGGGTAGCAAACAAGTGAGCATTAAACACACATTGTTTCAAGATCAATAAGAAACTAACGGTACAAAAGTTCTTTTAGTATTCCTTTTTTTTTTTCAGCCGCCATGATTCAATAAATAATAGTAAAAAAATTTTCCCATGCTGCTATAAATAAAATAGAAATCTCACAAGCAGAGCAGGCTACGCTTACTTCACATGGAAGATTTAAGCTCTTCATTGTAAACAAGAGCGCGCCAAGAAGGATTCCGTGGAAGAAAAGTATCCTGTTATGGAGAAACATGCAGGGAAACATCAGCTCAACAGAAATATTTGAAGCTTCTTCAAGAGAAGACGAGTGAACCAGAGATGGGCATAAGGTACTCGATAGAATGACTAATAAGAAATTAAATGATTGAGGGGTTACGGAAATGTAGGAGCACGTGGGGATGACGAGCATGGAGTGGGTCTGAGCATAGGAGAAGGCGGCAACGCAGAGATGTTTGGCGACACCCATCCCTCTTTTGTTCCTTGGCACGTAGGTGTGCAACATGTCCATCACTACCTTTTCCCTCTTTTCCTCTTCCACCTCAGACGACAATTCTTCGCCGCCGGTGGCGGTGGCCGCGACGGGGCATATGAACCGAAATTCGAGAAAGGCCTCCTTGTCTTCCGTTTCGAACCTCTGCATATTTTCGTTCAAAGCAATCGCGGGGTTCTCCATGGCGCCCCCCACCCCGGCACAGTTTCTATGTGTTTACATCTCGAGCATTTTTCTTATACCGCAGAATAAAAAATGTTTTTAATAAAAAAAAAATAACTTTTAAAAAAATTAAAAGCAATGACGAAATCAATTTTTTATTTTTCTTCCATCGGATTTTTCTTCCATCGGTTTTTTTTTTTTTTTCTTTTCGAATTTTTACATATATGACACTCAACACTTCATATAAACTATAGATCAAAAAACGGATTCTTTAATATTACACTAAGCTCAACAAACCTTTGACAAGATGGCAAGAAAGCGGCAAAATGGTTGAAAGTTTGAGATACGTTGCTGAATGTGGCATTCATTGCAAAGTCATCAACAACAAAATTGCAAGAGCGAAAAAAGCGAAGCTTTGGCCTTGACATAAAATTTGGCAAAAAAACCACCACCATCACCACTAGCAAACACTAATTTTCGAGCCCTAATTTTGAACATTTTTTGTCCTTGACATAAACCCTTTCAAAAATCAATTCTGAACCTTCTAAAAGCTTCCCCGAGCCTCAAGTCAATCTCCCCAATCAAAATTAAGGCATCCCGAGCCCTCCGACCTACTCTAAGGCCAACTCAAGCCACCATTTGGACTAGGTCATAACTAGGATCAATTTCAGCTCAAATTGAAGTATGGAGGAGGTTTGTGACATCAAGACGAAGCTCTCTGTCAAGCCCAATCGAAGCCACGTCTCTTTGAACAAGGTATGGGTCAAAATCGCAAAAATTAGCCTCGTGTTTGATATTTTGATAAAAAAAAAAAGAACAATCCATACTCATTGAATAGTATAGATATGTTCGTCTAACTTAGATGAAGCTATAGGAACAAACCCCGAGTTATTTGGTTGAGAATCGAATGAGATCTTACGGTTTGATCGTAAATGACTTTCGGTTCTCTGTCCCATGACAACGATGAACATATGTCGTTCGTTTCCGTGTATTAGAAACGAACGACAAAGAATAAATCAAAGCACCAAACTATAAGGAGGGGAGCACTCGATCACATGAATGCATAGCAACAATGTGGAAAGTGCGCCCAATCATGGAGCACCGCATGAAAATTTGACGACTCCGAGGATCTAGTTAACGCTGCATGGTTAAGTAAAGGATTAACATTTACAGAAAATTATATAAACTTTTAAGAATCCATGACTTGTTGTAGATAAATCACAAAAATAAAATAAAAATACATCTGAACTTAGTGAACAAATGATGAAAAAAATTGAAAATAATTAACTTATGTTTAATTTTTTTATTAGTGAACGAAGTATTTCAATTTTTAAAAATTAATTATAAAGAGAAAAAATCTAAAATCTTGAGAGAAGTTTCCCTCTAATCTTGGGAACACCCTCTGATTATTCTAAGGTCAGTGGTGGCCCCTAACTTGAAAATGACAATTTTTCTATCAAAAAAATTAATATCAAATTTACAAATAGAAATGGAAATTAACAAGGAAACTTAGGTTAATTAAATTGATCACTAAAATAATGATTTCTGCCTTTGAAAGCCCTAAAATGAAAAATTACAAAATTAGGGGTAATATTATAAAATTAAAATTTTACACTTTAACCCAAATAGTTCCAAAATTTGGTTTAAGACACTAAACCAACCCTAAAGCTTTGATCCTAAGCGGCTAACATCATGGTTACCTTTCTAACCATGAAATTAACTTAAGCATAAAAACCCTTGTTATAGCAGCTAACTCATTCGATCTTAAACATGTTATTATCTAAATTATACAAAACAATCAGTTTGGGGGAACACCAGCTGAAGGTCCAAATTTACATATTACAACATTTCTAGAACTATGTACTACATTTAAGTACGATGATGTATCAAAACGATGTCGTTAGACTTAGAAATTTTCCTTTTTTCTTTAAGGGATAAAGCTAAGATGTTGTTAAACTCTTTAGCACCTGGATCTATTAGAACTTGGGAAGATTTAACACAGAAATTCTTAGCTAAGTATTTTCCACCTTTAAAAATTGTTAAGCTTAGAAATGAAGGTGAGTCAATATATGAAACTTGGAAAAGATTTTAAAAACTCCTTAGAAAGTTTCCACATCATGTCTTACCAAACTAGTTAATTATTCAAACATTTTATAATGGGTTAGTATGATAAATGTTATGGCTAGAGGTTTATTAATGTCAAAACAATTTGATGAAGCTTATGCTTTAATTGAAGATATGACTACTAACCATTTGAACGTCACTCACCTTATTGTTCACACTGTTGTATGTTTGGTCACTCAACCTCTCTTTGTTATCGTTTAAATCCTCATCTCAAGTCAGATACTAGGAGAGCACCTCCTACTAACCAGGACTCTCCACACAATGTTGATGTTGAGAAAGACCAAATGATTAGTGTGCAACCCACTATTCTAGTCAATGATCAATCAGTTAACACTAAGCTGCACGATGAATGGACAAATCAACATACACCTAATGATTACGCTGATAATAATCATTTAAATAGTGTTGTGATGAATACTCATGTGCCAGTTTTAACTGGAATTTTATCGTCTGCTCCTCCTTCGCAGATAGCTCACACCATTTCTCTTTGTTATCGTTTGAATCCTCATCTTAAGTTAGATACTGGGAAAGCACCACCTGCTCATCAGGACTCTCCACACAATTTTGATGTTGAGAAAGACCAAATAATTAGTCTGCAACCCACTGTTCTTGTTAATGATCAATCAATTAATAATGAGCTGCATGATGAATGGAAAAATCAACATACACCTAATGTTTACACTAATAATAATCATTTAAATAGTGTTGTGATGAATACACCTGTGTCAGTTTTAACTAGAATTTTATCTTCTGCCCCACCTTTGCAGATAGCTCACATTATTTCCTACCCCTTGGAACCTGTTTTGGAAAATCATTTGCAGATTGTTGATATTGTTTGCCGCCCCTCTTCATCCACAGATAAAACAAATGATCGTTTACGCATTCCAATACAAGATGATACCACTACACTTGAAAACGAATGGCTAGTCCAATGACACACCAAAAAGAAAGCTAAAAAAATAATGAACTTTCTCAACTGAATAGAGGTAATATTATACAAGATGGCTATTAATATACTGATGGAGAGTAGTTAAGCAACCCTTCTAGATCTTGTAGGAGGGCTGGCTTGAGACATCATGTTTAACATAATGATTTGAAATATTAGGGAAGTGGCAGACCCTTCTTCCCTTAATAGACTTAATCATCTTCGTAGGGTAAAAAAACTTTCCATTTTTGTTATTTTGGAACCTCTTGTGTCAGTCAACAAGAATAGAATTTTTAATAATTTCAAGAGCTATCAACATTTTTACAATAAAAACAATAAGATTTTGATCTGTTGGAAACACAGTGTTACTTTAACAATTGTTGATGTTGAGGAGCAATTTGAATTACTCATTTCAAGATGGAGGATTTCCATTGTTGGGCTACTTTTGTCTATGCAAGTTCACTTTCCCAGGATAAGTACTTGTTGTGGCATAAATTAGAACTGATAGTTCTAATATTACTGAGAATTGGTTTGTGAAACATGATAATGAAACCTGCTAAAAAGAGGGTGGGTGGCAGGCATGACATTGCACTTATAAATCCTTTTTTGTGACTCTGTTTCTGATGCTGGTCTTTTTGATTTGGGCTATTTTGATTCTCCTTCCACCTAGAGAAGGGGATTACTCTCTCAAAGGATAGATCGTTTTTTTGGGCAATTATCAATTTCTGAATTACTATCCAATTATTCGAGTCCAACATTTAAATCATGCATCCTCTGATCATAATCCAATTTTGCTTAATTTGGCTTTCAATGCTAGATCTTCCATTTCCAGTTTTAAATTTCTAAATATTTAGACTACCCATGATACTTTCTTAAGTCTTGGTCAACAGGTGTGGAAATTTGATGGTGTTGGGACCCCTTGGTTTATCCTATGACAATTGCACAAAAATTAGCTGATAATTTGAAGAAATTAAACTTTCAGGTTTTTGGTAATGTTCACACCAAAGTGTTAGAGGCTCAGAAAATTGTTGATCAATTAGAGTCTTAGGTTGTTGGTTCGCCTGATTTGGTTAATGCTGTGGCAAAGGCTCACCTTGCACTTATGGATGCAATCTCTTTAGAGGAAGGACTTTTACAGCAAAAGGCTAATGATATCTACTTTACTGCTGGAGACAGAAACACCAAATATTTTCATGCTACTCTTAAGCATAGAATAAATATAAATAATATTATGAAGGTACAAAATGCCAATGGTGATATTTTTACTAATGCTGATGCATTGGTAACAGTGTTGTTCATTACTTTACTGATCTTTTTCAATCTAGTATACACGTTAATCCTGTTTATCCAGAACTTTTTGCTGATGAAAGAGATTATATTACTGCCCTCTCACTATCTCAACTTCCCGACGAAAAGGAAATTATCTTAACCTTTAAATGTATTAGTCCTAATAAAGCCCCTGGTCCGGATGTGTTCTCTTCCTCCTTCTATTTACACTATTGGGACATTATTAAGAGGGAAGTTATTCTTACTATACAGAGTTTTCTCCTACGGGACAACCCAAGTAAGTATTTTGGCTCAGCATTGATTGTGCTTATTCCTAAGAATAATGATAAGATAAGTGGGATAATTTTTGGCCTATATCCCGTACCACTGTCATTTTTAAAGTTTTGAGTAAGTTGATTGTGAATATATTACAACCGCATTTATCCAAAATTGTCTCCCCTCAACAATTTGCTTTTATTACGGGCAGAGAGATTACTGATAACATATTGCTTGCCCAGGAGATGACTGAGGACTTACATAAAAAATGTAGAGGGGGCAATATAATTCTTAAACTTGACATAAAGAAGGCATTTGACACTATTAGCTGGGATTTCATTCTTATTATTTTGCAAGCCAAGGGTTTCCATCATGAATTTTTCTTACTTATTAAAAGATGGTTAGAGAATAACCATTATAGTGTTCTTGTCAATGGTAAAGCACATTGTTTCTTTTCTGCACAAAGAGGTATTAAGCAG